ATCTATTTGGATTAGCCAAAAGAGGGCACCAAAGAGGTGTCTTTGCTATGGAGCTAGGCACAGAGAGAGTCATTTCTGGTAAAAAAGAAAAAAAAAACCTCTTTGATGTATGGAATCCTGCAGACTGGAATTACTAGCAAAGTTTAACACAGGGCAATTATGCAAAAAAAAAAAAAAAAAGGGCCTGCAGCTTATTGTAAAAATAATGCTTTATTCTTCATGCTGCCGCTTTACTGCACAAGTAATAAGAAAGCCATGGGGGGGGGACAAAGACAACTGATGTAAGTAAACATGTTATGAAATATCATAAGTTTGTGTAACTGAGATTGTGCAATGCCTTTCTCAGAAGCCATAATTTTTGCCTATAATGAAAAGGCAGCTGCGGGGGGGGGGGGGAGGAATAAAGAGAGAAATGCAAATTGAGAGAGAAAAAAGGCAGGGAACAAACTGGCCATCAGACTTCACTCCCAACAGGAAATATTCCTCATTCTTTAAGTTCTGACATCATTGAAGACCAGACACTGACCAAAAAAAAGTATCCCAAAAATGTAGCCAGATTGCTCAGGCCCTGTAAGAACTTGCTTTTTGAAACTCAAAACCCAATCAACAATAAATACCAACAAGCCAAGGAATGTCTGAATACCAAAGGAAAACAGTAATTGCCCTTTCTTGTTTGCCTGAAGATAAAGCAGATACAAAAAAAGTACATTCCAATTCCTTCTGGGAAAAACTGTTTAAAAAAATGTAGAAACCAAATTGAATTGATTCCTTTGAAAGGATAGGAGGTATTCAGGGGTGTGTGTGTATTGTATTTTGCCTATGGAAATGACTGTATCATTCAAACAGCATTTCAGCAGATTGAAACACTTCACGAAACAGCATTAGAATTTATGGAAGGGAAAATGATCCCAGCTAGAATAAAAGAGAAGAGCTGCAAAGAAGAGAGAAAGAAAATCCATATTTTAATAAGTAGAATTCACCTGACAGATTCCACTAACTTGCAATACAGCAATAAAGACAGTAATATACTGTGCCTAATCTAGAAAAAACATTTTCTTCTTGCTTTACATTTTTTCGATATAACAAATTATTTACAATCCATTGCAAAAATGCTTTTTTCAGTAAATTGGGTTTGTAGCTGGCTATTTATTAGATGGGATTATAAAGAAAGTGCTGAGCTGCATTTACAAAAACATACAAAACCTCTGCCATCATTAACATATTGAAATTAAAAAATAAATATGCAATCCTACATGGGATTTTGAATGGAAAAAGCCATTTTGCTTTGTGCATATAATGTCTAGTTCGACAACCTGAGTTAAGGTAAATTATAAATCAAGTTAATAACACTAACATTAAGCCCATTTTGGAAAGTAAATGTAATTATTTCAATCAAGATTACTCTGGTCAGAGTTGTAATTTCTACCTATTCAAACACAAAGTATTGCAGCCTCTTTAGAATCCTAAAAATCACATGGACAATCTGTTTGTACAACGGTAGAAAAAGGAAATCTAGAATCAGAAACCAATTTGATTTCAGATTCACAGAAAGAGACATGTGGTTCTTTGGAAATTTGACTGAAAATATTTATAATCCTACAAATTCTGTCCACTGCAAATCTACTTCTACCAAATAAAGTACAGAAAAATGGGGGCTGGTGTCACAGTAAAAAAATGCTAGCCATTACAAATTACATATTAAGGAAACATTTTGCATTTTAGAAATATTATCTTGGAAAATTGAAAACTGGTATTTGAAAAGGGAGGGGATAACTTCTTATTTCCAAAGAGTGAGGTAGAAGTGTATTATCTCTGTAAACCCATCACTAAATAAGCAATCTTTCCCCCCTTTTTACAACTTTTGATTCATATTTTTCATCCTAATTACAAAATCAGTTCAGACACTGAAAAAAACAAAAATAATTCAGACGCATCATTCCCAATTTTGAAAACTAAAATCAGCACATTAAAAAGTATAGCCTAATTTTGCCCACATACAATTTGCCAGGATCCTTCCCATAGGCCAACTATAATGAAAATAATCTATCTTTCTTTGGAACTTTTAAATAATTTTCTAGAGGTCATTGTAGATTCCATTTTTCTAGATTTGCACAATGGTATTACAAATACATTACCATCTCATTCCAAATCCTTAATTCCAGGACTTTTTTTCTCATAGAACGCCCAGAATGTTGTTCCGGCACCTTTTTTGGATGGAACCTTGTAGGGTAGGCAAGGCGGGTTGTATGACATGTGTGAGTTCTAGCACTTTTTTTTTTTTTTTAAAGCACTGCTTAATTCTGTCCTGTCAGTTATAGAGCTGGCACTATATTTCCTGAAAACATTGTCTCTTTTTTGTTTTATTTTTTCCAAACCCTAAAAACTATTATTTCAGTTGAAGGAATTTAGGAACTGAAGCAGTTCAAAGGAGATTCCCATTGTGGCTTCTCCTGGGAACAGACATGTAAGACCTGGACTGTTCCCAAGAACTGGTACCTTTCGTAATTTCCTTTCTCTCCTTAAACGTGTATTTATTAAATAAGAAATTTAGCAATAAGAAATAGAGGAATGATATATAAAGAAAATATATCTGTCCATAAAGTCACATGCATTTCAAGTGACTTCATTCAGTTTCTGTCATTTAAGTGACCTTTTACTCTGATTGAGTTAATCTCACAAGGGTCCAGGTGAGCTTCAACTACCTTGGGATTATTTGGCCTTTAATGTGGGTATCACTGGGCTCACAGATTAGAAACATTAAGGCTCACTGCCTCTCCTAATTTTAAAATCTTAATTTTTTTATTCAAACATTAGTTTTCTGCTGGAAAATAGTTTGCTGCAAAGCAAAGCACTAGTTTCCAACATAATCATGTGATGCAGTATAAGCATGTTAGCTCATTTGTATGTTTTGGTGTGGTGTACTTTTTTGTCTGAGATTTTCTTCTATGTGGGAGTATAATGATCTCTGTGTTTCTTTAAACATAACCTGTTTGCATTATGTGGAAAAAAGGTATTTTGTTGTGCTTTGTGCAGGCAGATACGTGTTTTGGCACTTGACATTCAGACCACACCTCTGCACTGTATTCATTTGGCAAAGTTACTTATCTCTCAGCCTAAGTCTCCTCAATTTGTCCTCTGTGAAATGGGTACTGGAGTAAAAGACTATGAGCTCAAAGCAGAAATTTTGTGTTTAGAGGTCCAGAATTCATTCTTGCCTTCATAGATAAAGTTCATAGGTAACCTACATTTTCTGTTTTGTAAAATAGGAATTTTGTGACTTGCCCTAACTATCTTGGTGGACATTTATAAATGTGCAAGTCCTATTGCCCTCTTCAAATTGTTAAGAACATATATAAATTTTTCTTAAAATGTGCCCAATGCTTAAAAGGGTCGGGGATTCCTGGCTTATGGTCCATCCCCAGAAGCCGATTATTTTCTACTCTGTAATCTCACCCCACAACCACAAAATCTGAACTTTTGGAAACACCATAAGGGGAAAAGTCAAGCCAAGAAAACATTATAGATGACCAGACCTACATTTAGCTTGCTGTTTGCAAACTGCTCATTTGGGGGGGGGGGGAGTGGCTCTACTGAGTAAACCTGAAGACGGACTTGGTTCATCTCCTCCTTTGCACTCTTAAAAGTCCACAAAAGAAACCAAGTACCTTCAGCTGAGGTACCAGGCGTTTTGGCATTCTTTCCCAGTGGCAATGATTGAAGAGCTAGGCCCACACATCCCCTTTTATACTGTTTACACGCCAGTGGAAACCTGTGTTAACAGTTCCACAAGGCTACTCATGATTTCCTCTCTTTTGTTCCCAATTAGATATTTCATTCCGAGAAAAAACATGCCGCCGACCGTCGTACCCACCCACCCCTTCGCTCGAGCGCATATGGCCATGTACATTGAGATGGCCCCTCGGACTTTCTCTTCGCCCTGGATTTTTAGACTTTCGCCCAGAAAGGCTCGCCTTCCCTCCGACTCCCCATTGGAGGACCTCAAGAGACACGAGCAAAATGGACCGAAGATACATTTCCCTGAAGAGACCCTGAAGCCAAGAGAAGCAAAGCAAACCCCCCCCCCCCACACACACACACACCACCGCCCGCCTCTGTCTCAGAGCCTTTGGCTCCACCAGAGGCCAGCACAAACTGCGGAAAGCAAAACCGCCCAAGGGGCACAGGGCTGTGGTTGGGAAGAACTCAAAGAGTCCCGGCGAGGGGATCGCGAGCGGACGGACGAACCGCGAAGCTCTCTTTCCTAGGAAGAAAAGGAAAACAAGGCAAGGAAGAGGACCGCCCCCCCCCAACCCTGCTTACTTAGCCGGCGCGCCGCCTAATCGGTGGCTCAGGGTCGCATTGGGCTTGTCACTCCGATCGGGCTGTCTCCTGCCTACCAACTTCCAAGGGTCTCTCTCTCTCTCGCTGTCTCCTGCCTTGCACTTCCAAGGACTTGTTCGCGCTCACCCGCAACAGCCCCAACTATTGAAAAGCCGCGGCCGTGTCCGCCTCCTTTTAAGGTGTGAGCGCGCAGAGAGGCGGCTATTGGACTGGAGGCCAAAGGAGACGCGTCGCCCGCTGTTCCCCTCTAATCTCCGACTGAGGGAGAGGTCCAGGCGCGCACACAGGAGGTGGACTGGGTGTGGTTAGCGAACTTTACTATTTGATTAAGGAGTTGCTGCGAGCCGCGGAGGAGGGAAGGGGCATAGATCGCCTGGGGGGGGGGAGAAGCGTGCGACGGAGAGGCGCTGAGGAGGGGGAGGAAAAGCAAATAATAATCAGCATGATAACAGCGACCCGAATCACGCAAAGCCACAGTATAATAAAATGAAAGAAAGTGCCCCCTCCCCCTCCCAGACAAATTGCTGTTACGGGATCACAAACGGGAGAGAGGATCAATTTAAGAGAGGAGAAAGCGCACGTCCTGGTAAAGGGAGAGCCTCGATGTCAGAACCGGATTTTAGCAACTTGGCGACCAAGGTGCTTGGGCTGGCCCCTACCTGTTGAGTTGTGATGCTCGAGTAAGTTTCCGGATGCCCTGGAGAAGTGCTGCTACCCCGAGAGGAGGTATCAAAATTTGCCGGAAAGTCCTGGTACATTGTCCGAGGTACAAGCAGGAGAGAAATAATAATGAAAAAAAAAATCTTTTTAGTTGTTGTTCCCTCTTGTTCAGTCCCTTCCTGTCTTGTTTCCAATCGTATAATTGATGCCTTAGATTTCAAGCGCGCTCAGGTGGAGACGGATGCAGCTGGCAGTTTGGATTTTGATTCTATTTTAAGCAAGTCCTGATTTTTCTCTCTCTCAAAACAGGACTGTGTGGAATTAAAAAAACAAAACCACCCCAAACCTCCCACGTATAAGAATGCAAAATTCACTCCTTGTAGAGCCAAATCACTGAGTCTCTTAAGGTCAGCATAACTATGAACAAGCTTTAAAAAAAAGAGAGTTCTCTTTCCAAATGCGTCTTTATTTCTAAAGAAAATTAGACGTGTCTTGTTTCCCTTCCTTCCACTTTGCCTGCCTACTGGTATCAAAGTCTTGATCTCTCTGTAGTTTTAAGGAGGATCGTTGCCTCCTGTATAATTAAGCCTTTCAGAAAAGTGCCGTCTTCCTGCTCGAACTGGACTGGATGACTCAGCCCGGGATTTGAGGCTCTTTATTTACTTATTGTTGAAAAAAATCAACTGAATGATCGATCTAGCTCTTGATTTTGCCCTTCTCGGTCGTGAAGGCGAGCTCTTCTGTCCCCCTGCTTACACGTACCCCCCTCCCTTCTCTTTCCTTGAGCAAGCGCCTCTCTAGCTTAGTATCCTTGTTCTCTGACTCCTTTACTCTCCCTGGATGAGTCAGTGTAATGGCATTAGTTCAAATCCCGAGCCTCATTGCATCTCCTCTTCTTAAGATCTGTACCATGTGGATTTCCAGCGTCAAACTTGCAACTTGGCCACGCCCCATTCGCGACGCGGAGCCTCCCACTTGTAGGGGAGGAGGAGGAGAGAGAGGAGGGCAAAATCGGTCGGCCCATTAAACCCGACCCAGTTTACTGAACGCAGACGATTAGAAGGCGAGTAGGCAGGCAATCTCACGCCCACTCGCCATGCCGCTCGACTGGACAGTCCGTTGCCTGGTCCGGAATGGTTTTTCTCTCTCTCCCCCCACATCTTGGCTTAGTCTGTTCCATTGTCGCAGGTCGCGGTTGCCAAAGATGGTCATTTGCGTTGTACTACGTGAGCGCGGGTTTCCTTGGTTAGAATGACGCGTTCAGAGAGGGATTCCCTGCTCGCCTGCCACAAATCATACCTCAATAAAGGGACGAATCTTGTTAGAAAAGGCGGGAAAAGCGGCTTCAAGAAGCGTCTCTGATTACCCCGGATTCTTTTAGGGGCAGGTTGATTTGCGCGGGAGCGAAGGCATAACTCGAGGGCGACTAGGAAGGAGGACGGGTGGGGAAGAGTAGGGGAAAGTTGCATTCTGAATACTGCGAGGCTTACTAAAAGAAAATTTGAATTTAAATGGGATGTTAAAAGATGGGGAGGGTTTTCCAGTAAACATGGTAGCAACGCGAGTATCCGAAAAGGGCATGAGCAGATCCCAAGTAGCGTTGCTGGAGCTTCATACCGCATAGGATCCCATTGACTCCCCCGTCTCCCTAGGCATTATTATTGTTCTTGCCATATAATCTAATATCCGAGGCTTCTGAGGTGCGATCATCAGATCTCATAATTTCCTGAGCTCGCCTGCTCCATTTACAACCCGGAGTCCTAGAATATGGACTCTACAATCCGGAGCAGCTCCTTGTCCAGACCTGATTCATTTCTGTACTATACATGTATTGCTACTGTCGCTCTTCATAAATTATGGGAAAAACGGCTGACGGCCGCTGGCGTTTATTCGTCTGACAGATAAAAACTCAACGGAATAGTTGCGTGCGTGTTATTTTTATGGCAAAGCATTTTTTTTCCCCGTTGACCTCAGGGAGCCCGATTTCCTTTGGGAATTGCACTCTAAGGCTCCAGCACGTGGACTCCACGAAGCCCTGAATTCGCTGTTATTTCGAAGTAAGTAAGAGGCGCGGGATCGGCTTGGAATTGCACAAAAGAACATCGCATCAGCAAGACAGAGCATCTGGGAACGCTCTGTTCCGAACGGGCAAATGACTGGCGCCCTCCTTGGTGCAGTCCTACGGCGCGGAGCTACAGGATTTGTTCGTAGCCACCGCCAAGTGGCGCAAGCCATTTAAGGAGGAGGAGGAAAGCCCGGCCGGAGCTTCAAGACTACCCATATTCCTATGATACTGGCCGACGGCCTACCGTAAACTATAAACAAGTTGCAACGAGGGGAGGGGGACTTTATGTTCCCTTCGGCTCCGGTCGGGCGCTTGGCCCGGATCAACCTCCTCTGGAGCCGGACCAGAAAGCCTCCCCTTATTCGCTGCAAGAGCCACGCCCCTTCCAGTAAGAACCGGCTAGCTTGTAGGCGGAGCGGCTCTGTTGCTGCTGCTGCTGATTGTGCTGCTTTGCACGCAGCGACAGAGTTACTCGGGTCGGTTGCCTTCCAGTAAAGTGACGTGGCTGATGGCTAAGCCCCAGAGATCAAGGAGTTTCTGTGGAATTTGGGCGGCCCTTGATGCAACCTTGCAACGCCGTGAAGAAGAAAGCGAAGCGGTGACGCCGCCAGGACGGGAGGCAACGGGGCCGGAAACGTAACGGGGTCAAAGATCTGCCCAACCCAGACCGGAGTTGCGGGAAAGGAGGGAGGGGGTGGCGGAAGATGGAATTTCCCGCTGAGAATTACGTCTGCCCGGACATTTGTTTTTTCGAAAAAGCAGCTCTCCAGGAAATTAGGTGCGCACGGCTCCCCCTGCCTATATGGAAACTATGTTTGCATAAGAAAAAAAAAAAAAACTCTGCCTTCGCATCAGCGGTTCAAAGTAATTAAAAAGGAGAGGAAGAGAGAGTCTCGGACAAGACAGGGATGGATCCCGAAGGGCCTGCAAAGCAATGGGCCGTCTGTTTTTGTGTAAAAATACTGCCATCCTAGCAAAGTAAATGGCAATTGAAATGGAACCCAAAAGTGGCTCGCCTTAAAAAAATATAAATAATTATTCTTTCGGTTTGAAGGCTGATTTGCCTACTAGGTTTACAGATGCCATAAATGATATGTTCGGAAACGTTCTGCTGATGGTCACATAAACTGCATTTAGGCCCCCTGTCCCCTAACGCTAGGTAGGTCGCTGCACGATTCAAAACGAAAGCTGGACATCTTGGAAACTGCCTAAAGAGCAAGAAATATCCAAAACAAATACTGTGTGTAAAGAACTCTTGATTTAAGTGAGTATGAATTCCACAAACGGGGGTTCTGTGTTGGAGTTTTCAAAGGGACAAGTGCTTCCTTTCATTTTTGCTTTACAGCGCCAAATTGTCAATACACTTCTTGAGTCAGGAACATGATGACATCAGTACATGAAGCTTGCAGTGGTTAACATTACTGCAATCAATATAAAATATCATACTCTAAACATGTGTCTTTTTGAGGTGTTGGCACTACAATTCCTGGAATACCTAGGTGACTTCCTACAAATTTACTATACTACAGTAGCAACTACTGAGTAGATGTTCAAGTTGATGTTCAATTGCAAGTCCTCCAAATCCTGCTCAAATCATTGACATCTAGGATTAGGATATAATTTACCTAAGGAAGAATTATTCTAAGGCTAATAATAGCCATTCTATTGAAGATTTATAAGCATACACCATGGGTCAGTTGTATTCATAGTAGTTACTTTATTTTGATTCCATGAGTAGCTATTTCATGGATACTGTTGTATGGCCAATGTAGGTGAGAGGTTACACTGATAGCATCATAAAGCACAGCTTGGTATATATTTACAATTGTGTGATATAATTGTAAGAGGGGCTTAAAAACGAGACTATGGAAACTATAGTCAAAGAATGTGAAGTCTACATGACTAATTTACTGTAATAATTTCATTGGGCTTTTGGCTGATAGGTTTTATCAATCATCTCAGCATTTTGCAGTATAAAAAGCTGAGATAAAACAGTTAAGGCAACACCACTCAATGAAGCAATGTGTAGAAATCTGTAAGCCATATCAATTACTGTAGATCCTGATATAGCCATGATTCATTGTTTACATATTGAAGTTCCCAAGATTTATTCCTGTCATCTCCGGGTAGATCTAGAAAAGGCTCCTGGTTAAACTCCAGGGGAACTGTTGCCAGACACTGAATAGTAAGGTCAGGCAGAGCTGAGATTCATGGGTTATATTTAATGTGTTTTCATTATTAAAAACCCAAATCCTTATATCATCCAGTATCTTTTGGACTTATGAACCTGAGGATTTATCTTGATTGCCATAACTGAGCATAAAAGTCCATTACTGATTACCTGAAACTTTGCACAGAAAACAAGGCTTATTTTGTTAGTAGCTACTAATCAAGATTGCCACTGACTTCAATTCCAAAATGCCTCTGGAGAGAAATTGTTGGGTTGGCTGGCAAATATCCAGCTAATGAGCTTTGGCCCATGTGCAGTCAGAATGCAGAACTACCAATACATAGAATTTGATCTGATCTAGTAGACCTCATTTTGTAACCTTGGCTTTCTTCATTTCATTGATAGGGGTCAGGTGAGATACTTTATTCTTAAACAGTTGGCTATATGAAAGCCTTATGTCAAGTTGCTCAGAGACGTATCATTCTAATGATTAGCTCCTGGTTAAACCCCAGGAGAACTGTTGCTAGATACTGAATAGTAAGGTCAAGCAGAGCTGGGGCTTGTGAGTTATATTTAATGTGTTTTCATTATTAAAACACATTAAATTCTGAATTAAAAGATTCAGAATAAGATAGCTACCCATGAATCTCTTGGGCCTTACAGTCATTTGAAGGCTTTCTCATTTCTTGCATCTCAATCTGTTCATTGTGGTTAGCCCAGCCTTACAATGGTTTATTTAAAATACAGTTAGGGTTAGGGTTAGTTAACCTCCAGGAAGAGAAAATTCTCACCTGCACTCACCTAGAGTGCTCTTGGACATAGAGATCACTTGGTCTTCCAAAAATAATAACTCTAGGATCAAGAAGCACAAGTTGAGGGATAGGAAATATGCTCAGTCACCATAGTTTTGGGTGCAGAATTCAATTATGGAATTGGTGAGGAATTATTTGATACCTTCAAACTATGAACTTCTTTTCGAGGAGAACAGTATGGATGCCATTTGTAAAAGCACTTGTGACTGGATAGAAGTTAGTGGGAGTCTCTCAAACTAAGGGCTTTACAAGAATGGGCAGTTTACTGCTTGTGAATTTTGGGAGTTGTAGTCCCCATGTATCTAGAAGTCGCAGTGCTTGTTATGTCCTTTATGATTCTCTGTTGGTTTTCTTGCTTTCTAGTGCAGGCCCTCGCTAATTTTTTGTCTGTTGTAAGCTATTGCTGTTTGTATTTTTCTTATATTGTAAGCCACCTAGAGTGAGGCAGCTGTAGGCTGAATTGGTTAAATAAATCATTTGGTTTTTAAAGTGTTTGTATTATCCCTTTCTCCTGTTTGATCAAGTTACCTAACATAGCTGATTTAAATATCTTCTAAAAGGGGAAAAAATGAATGCAGTAAACGACTGATCCATCCGTCTGACATCAATACCTGGGAAGATTCTGGAAAAGATAAACAATGAATCAGTGAACACCTAGAAGCAAACAAAATCATAACCATAGGCCAACATGTGTTTGTCAAAAACAGATCATGCCAAACTAATCTTACTATATTCTTTCACAAAGTAACAAAAATATGGACCAGCGAAATACTGTGGATATAACTTAGTACGGCATTTGATAAAATAGAACCTACTACTTGATAAAACCTACTACTTGATAAAATAGAAAAATGTGGGTTAATGCAGTCCCAGGCCACATTAATGGAGGGATAGAATCAAGATCATGTGAAATAATACCACTTTATAATACCTTGGTAACCCTACACTTGGAATATTGCATCCAGTTTTGGTCACCACAATATAAAAAAGATGTTGAGACTCTAGAAAAGAGTGCAGAGAAGAGCAACAAAGATGATTCAGGGACTGAAGTCTAAAAGATGCAAAGAATAGTTGCAGGAATTGGGTATGTCTGATTTAATGAAAAAAAGGAGCAAGGATGACATGATAGCAGTGTTCCAATATTGGGCTGCCATGAAGAGGAAGGGGGGACAACCTATTCTCCAAAATGAAGGCAGAACAAGAAGCAATGGATGGAAACTAATCAAGGAAAGAACCAATCTAGCAGTAAGGAGAAATTTCCTGACAAAACAATCAGTGGAATGACTTGCTTCCAGAGGTTGTGGGTGCTCCAACAACAGAAGTTTTTAAGAAGAGATTGGACAACCATTCGTCTGAAATGATAACAGGGTTTCCTACTTGAGCGGGGGGGGGGGTTGGACTAGAAGACCTCCAAGGTCCCTTCCAACTCTGTTATTCTGTTATTCTAAAATAATCAAAACAAGCATAAATATAACAGCAGTTAAGACAACAGAAGATAATTTAAAAATATAAACCCAAATATAAATAAATTACTTGATGCGGAAAACCATTCCATTGAACAAATAGGTAAATGGTTCTTAGAGTCCATAGACCACTCTTGAGAGAGAATTCCAAAAATTGGGTCAAAATAGAACCTCCACAGTTGTCAAACTAAACATTTAAAAGGAGAAGCATGCAAAATACAGAGCTCAAGATCAATCACGTTGGAAGCATTACAGTCAATTCTGGAACCTGCACTGCTATGTTCTTAAAGTAGCTGTCTAATAAAAACAGGGATAGAGAATATTGTTTTTATTTGCTACTTCTCTGCTGCAGAATTTCCTCTTTCTCCCAGAAATTTCTGAAGCTCTTTCTGATGCCAGTGCAAATTCTTTTTAATCTGGCCGGTATTATTCAAAGAGAAGAATACACAGAGTTTTCTTTCAGTTTTGTATACTGTTTTAAAAGTCTGCAAGTCTTCTCATCCAGCATGGGTGTCAATCTACATACCAAGAGAATAAAGGCTGCTTTTTCTGATTTTCTGTAAGTTTTGCGTCTGTTGAATCCAATTAGTTCAAAATTTACAAGGAGCAAATTAGAGAAAGGAGTTGGGAACTCACTCAAAGATATAGCTTGTCTTGGGCAAATCCCACACTCTTCTATGCCTGAGGTTCCCCTTCTGGAAGATTAATGTCTCTACATTACCACAAAGAGGTAGAGTGCCACTTAATTAATTTTTCAAAGGGTTTAGAGCAAAGGGGCCTATTAGAGCACAAAGCTGGTTGTTAATTACACATCTCTCTTTAAGTATTTTAATCAACTCTCTTTGGCAGCAAGAAAGAATCAGCATTTCCCTTCAAAGCTGAGATAGTAAATATAAGATTACCTGTAGGGACTCTATTAACACTAGATGTAACAGCATCCCACAGTTTCCTGCATATGAGTATTGGGTCCATAGGTTTCTGCAAAAATACACAGTTTTCTAAAAATAGTCAGTTTAGCCATCCAAACACAACAGTCTTAGAAAACTTTGAACAGGAACAGACATTCCCCTGTTTCTTTGGCTATTGAATGAACTACAAGCATAGTGAAAACAAATACTGTAAATACGTATCTTTTCTCTGGCTAGATTATAGATATCTTCATTTACTAATCATTATTGGGATCAGCAACTCCATCGCTAAGTGATGTGGTTGCAAAGTGAAAAAACATCATGTGACTTTTATGACATCAGTTTGTCAGTTCTGGCTGGTTAAGTGAATCACTGTGGGTCATTAAGCATATCTCATCAGTGCAACTCGCAACTTCCTGCCAGCTTTCCCATTGATTTGACTGATCAAAAGCCAGCTGTGAAGTTTCCAAATGGTGATTATGTGACTGAAATGCTACAGTCATCATAAATGTGCACCAGTTACCAAGTCTCCAAATTGCAATCATATGACCATGAAGACTGCAGTGGATTTTTCTATTTTAATGGATTTTTCTATCATGGTTGTATGGCCTCTGTTAATCTAAAGTTATTTTAAATGTATCAGTTAACTTTGGGCTGTCCTTGGAATCTCTGGGATATAAGCCAAGAAAATCAATTCCTATTCTTAAACATCAATCATGTATATTTGTTGACTGATTCTAAATAACTAGAAAAACTAGGATGACATCATTTCTATAAAGAATAGAGATGGTATCAACATACTGAAGACAGTTCATATAGAAAATAAGGTAAGATATGTACGTATCAGCTTCCAGGCTCAAAAATTCTCTGGCTGAGAGAATATATTTTTCTAGGTTTTTTTTCAACTAAGGGATATGGAGGTCAACTTTGGCTTGGGATGTTGTCTAATTTAATATATGTGTTAGAAACAGTTCACTTTTTTTAACAGATAAGAGAAGTTAAAGCCATTTCCTATGATGTTTAAGAAGACTTAATGATATAAAATGCAAATAAACTATGAGAGAAAATAATTTGGAACATAGAATTAAAAATACAGTAGCATTGCTTCTCTGAAGGCTATTAAAATAATAGGAAGGATAGAGGACCATCAAGTACTTAGACCATTCCTTTATTGATCCAAAGAAACCTACATTTCCATAATCAGATCTCATTAGGCTCTGATCCCATCAGATGGAATAATATATTTTCAATAAATTTGCACTGAGAGAAAGGTGATTTTCCTGTTATTTTCTATTTTGGGGGAGATTGCTGGAAAAAAATATTCCACTTCGCTTTGAAGTGTTGATTTGAAACAGCAACTTTTAGCATTAAGCACCTCTTTATGGACCAAATTCCTCTTGATGTGCATTGCTTGGCAGATGTTTTGTTTTCTGGCGTCTAAAAAAAACGATCTGGTCCCAAATTAGCTGTTTTGTTTCATGTGGTGCCTATTTTTAGAGGAGGTGTGCTTAGTTCTATAAAAATAAGTTCATTTGCTACAATCTTTTTGCATGATATTTAGACAGCAAGGTGCAAGAACCACAATAAGACCATTGTGCTTTTCTTTTGGCTTATGCAGTATATCATGCACTCAACTGTGTCTGTTGATTTGTACTAGTGAAAAGAAAAAATTGTCTAAGATGTAAAATGAATAGACACACACTTGGGGGATACATCAGAAATATTACTGGAGCAAAAGCACCTCTGCCAATGCATCAGCAAGATTTTAAAAACTGCCATGGTTGAAATAATTCTGAATTAACTCATTGACAAAGGCTGATACTACAGTGTTTTAAAAGTCTATGTAGAATCTAATAGGAATTTTAAAGAAGGCTTAGAAAACTACCTTTGGCATTTTAGATTTTAAAAAAGTAATATGTGGTTTGGATACTGGATTTTCTGTTTTTCCAATCCCAGTTTCTGTTTGATAAGCATAGGTAATAGCAATGGGCTGTGGAGTTAAGATCCAAACCAAATGAAAGAGTTTATATTGACTACCCTTGCTTTAGACGAGAAAGGGCAATCTTATATGCTATGAGCCATGTGCAACCCAGGACTGTTTTTGCAGCATCTCCCAATGCTAAAAATTTGCAACATTGTTTTGTTTAAATACATAAGCAAACTAGCAAAGTTAAATATCCACATTACTAAATGGGGTCAACAAAGTCAAGATGGCAGCTACAATGGTGGGATTGAGGGTCCACCTGCATTTTATATGGATTCTATGTGCAATGCACATAAAACATAAGCAGCTCATCAAATGCACCATTGCAGCCACCATCTTGACTTTTTGGGTCATATCCTGCTGACACCCCTATTAGAGAATTACTATAGCTGGTTCAAAATACAATTGTGAAAATGGTGGCTGGGACTATCTGGATACTACAGCATAACTCGTCAATTTTAAAATAAACACATTGCTTAACTGTTTATGGAAGAAGGATTAGCCATGGTCAGTGAAGTGTTGCCCTCTGCTGGGACAGTTTAAAGCAGTGGTTCTCAACCTGTGGGTCGGGACCCCATTTGGGGTCGAACAACCATTTCACGGGGGTCGCCAAACAAGGCTGTCCACCATTTTTTCCCCTTTTCGTTGGCCACGCCCCTGGCACCTGGTGATGTATAAGTGGTTGGGGGTCACCACAACATGGGGAACTGTATTATGGGGTCGCGGCATTAGAAAAGTTGAGAACCACTGGTTTAAAGGTAAAGATTTGAAAGGAAGAAGAGCATCACTTTGAAGTTGCCTATTAACTCTTAGCACCAGGGGTACAGACTGAGCAGGCACAGAAGGTGCTGTAATAACTTTGATACATAAAAACTTAGGCAGCAGAATGTTCATCATTATAGATGCTTTCTTTTGGGTTCCTTTTGGACAGTGCATAAGTAAGCTCCTTATTTTTTTCTGTGGAGGATGTATCAGCATTTAGAAAAAAAAAATGCCCTGTAGAAGAAATTGCTTTGGTAACCTAATCCATCCTGTTCCTTCTTTCATCATAGGTGTTTGTAGGTAGAAAAGTTCACTGGTAGTGAGAAACCTTATTTTCCAAAAGGCACTCAAAATAGCGCTCCTCTATAACTGATAGGCTTACCCACCCTACAGTTGCTGTGGCTCTGAGGAATGACTGTGATCTCCTACGATGCATTGCATATGAAAAAATTCATTGGCTTCAACTGCTTTTGAAGTTAAGAACTGGACTTGTTTGTCCTACAGACCAGTGCTCATATACACACTACATACACAAAGCAATCCATCTCCTGGCAAAAGAATCAGCTGCCTGTAACATACTGAGATCTGGCAGTGATAAAGTTCTCTTGCAATAAATTACTTGGCCAAAGTAATTCTAAACAAGCTTGTCTTTTAGTATCCCAGACATGTGTTCAGAGCTGCCTGGGTTGAGCAATAACCCAATCTGTTCCTTAAAAAACAAGAGATAACATGCATGCGTGGTCGGTCCAGTCTTGCCTGAACATTAAACAAGTTAAGTTCCAGGTTTCAGGGCAAGGGAGGAACTCTTGACAGGCAAATGAGAAGCTTGGGTGCTGCATGTTCCAGGAACACAAGTGTAGCTTGCAGAATGAAGTAAATAACTAAAACAATTCCATCATTTTAATTAATGATCACTCCTACATACAAAGGGCCTCACGGTCATGGGTAGAATATGCTCTTAATTTGACCAAAGTAACAGAATCAGGAATGCCAACAGAAGCAAAACCTCTACATTTTAGGACTCTGCTGGACAGTGAAACTTGCAATGCAAAGGCAAAATAAAGTTTATGTTTATATGGAGCCATGGTGGTGCAGAGGTTAGAATGCTGTATTCCAAGCTCACTCTGCCTACTGTTCAATCCTGATGAGCTCAAGATTGACTCAGCCTTCCATCTTTCCGAGGTTGGTAAAATGACAACCAACATTGTTGGGGGTAATATGCTGACTCTGTAAACCGCTTAGACAGTTCTCTAGTGTAAAGCACTATAAAGCGATATATAAGTCTAAGTGCTATTGCTATAGTTGTATTTTAATGATGCTTTGTCTATTTTCAAATTTATTATTTCTTTTTTAAAAAGCATTTCAGCGGTATACATATTAATCAAACCCAAGTTTAATAAGAAATGTGAAGATTTTTCAGCCAGCTAAAAATATACAATTTTAATATTTTGGGCTACAAATAGATGTGCAGTATCCTTATCTTCTTTTTTCCCTTCTTCCTTCGTCTATCCTTCTCTCTTTTTTTTTCCAACATTTTTTACCTGTTAATTTCACATGTATTCACATATTTTTAGAAAGTTTGAGATGTGTCAGAAGGTTTATTTGGCAGCATCTCTGGCCCAGGAGCATTCGCTACATTGCCTTCCATCTTTGTCTTTCCCTCTTGCAACCAATGCCAGACATACATTTCAGCTTTGCCCCACGGATCAAATATGACTTTGTTATTAAAATACTCCTCCTGCCTCATGCATGCACCTCCCATGCCAAATTGTAGTAATGGTAACACCTGAAATGGCCAATTAGTTCAACACAGAGAGAGACTCATTTGGGGAAAACACATATTGTGAGACAGAGGGTCGCACCTAATTTGCGGAGTTTATTTGCATACACTCCTTACTTAATTTGCATAACATTTGAACAAACTTGCTGGACGCATCGCCGCTGATGATGCCATTTGTGCAATTTCCAGTGACAAACACAAAGTTGCAGCTGGGGGAGAAGGTAGACTTTATTTTCATCCTGATATCAAAGGTTGAGAGATTATCACTTTCCTGGTAAGTGGATTATGCAGTAGAAATAAGAGTAAATACAGGTAGAGGGATCTTGGTGGATTAGAATTACTGTATGGCCAAGTCTTCCAGACAAACTCTCCAAATGACGGTGAAATCTAAAGTGAACGAAATCATGAAACAGCCTCAAATATAGAGGTAAGGATGAAAAATTATTAAATCCATAAGCAGAACATATTCCATCAGCAGGACATTGAGGGTAGGTTTGTTTTAGCTGCTTTCTTTAAAGTCCCTCTCTGATTCCAGACTTCGTAAAGCTTAAAATTTTTAGTCCTATTTAAATCTGATCTAACCCGCATATTTGAAACATGGCTGCTAACACATAAGACCTTGTCCTTTTTGTCAGTGTAATTTTACAGCAGTTGTCATTTTAATTTTTTATCATGCCATTTCTCCAAATAAAAGGTTTTCTCTCTCTTAATTTTATTTTCACTACTACTGTATGTGACATAGATTATCTAATGAATATAATGGGCAAGGGGAGATTTGAAATAAGCTTTCACCATTTCTACTATAGTAATGTCCATTTCATTTGTCTGACATAACAGGGAAGAATTAGCAATGAATGGTTTTTTTTTTTTCTTGCCACCATTGTAAGGCTTGCTGAGTTGCAGATAGTTGAGGCAAACTTCAGGGTAGAAAAACCTGTTCATTCTGAAACATGGCAAACAAAGTCTGGGAGAAGTTGGTACGAGTAATACATTGTACTGATGCAAGCTACTGATTATGTGGTAAGCATAGGAGAGAA